TTTCGGGAGCGTTCCAAAAATACCCTGTATAAAGAGTTCAGCTATAACAATATAAATTTTGTTCTTATTTTAGGACTCTCTCTATAAAGTCCAGTCGCGGAGCACGAAGAATTTCGTACAATGACCTCTTTACCTACTGACAGTGGTCACAAACATTTTTGTATTTAGTGCGGTTTACATGAAATATTTGAAGGAGAAAGAAAATTTACCAACTTATGAAATATAGTTATTATTATTATATAACTTTATAACTTTATAACTGGACTTTACTAGTAATTACTCTGAAATCATACGTCAGAGGTGTCACTGACAAGATTGGCTAAACTCCAATCGCGGAGCACGAAGAATTTCGTACATTGAACTGTCATTACCTGTCTCTGTCACTCCCGGGTAAATACAATGAGTCTCGCTCGCACAGATGCAATGGCCGCCGTCCTCAGGGATTGTAAACCTTTTACTGGAGACTATAAGGTTTGTTCTTGTTTGCATAATGTGGTTTTGGTTGGCCTTGAGTCACGACAAAAAGTCCTTGGTTTGCTTGACCTTGACGTAATTAATAATGTTTAACTAACGAACGAGATTCCATCTTGGGATGCGTTAGTGATCGCTCAGTTTTCTGATACAGTTATTTACCTATTCTTAGTTTGTTGTTGTTTGTTAGTTTTTGTTATCTTGTTTTAATTGTTAAGTGGTTTTGTTAATTTGTTAAGTATTATTCACTCTTTTAAAATGGAACCAGCGCCGTGTATCTTGCGTCCATTAAAGGAGTTTGTTTCTCCGCGGAAGAAAAGAAAAATGTCACACTTTAGTGTATCTGAGAAGGTAATGATTATTAAGGTGTTTAAATACGTTAAAGAATTCTGGCCTGCTGATAAATATCCTTCAAAAAAGATATGAAGGACAAAATAGCCGTTATCTTGGGCATTTCAAAATCGGCCATATATCGTATCTTAAAAGAATATACCGACACAGATACCGTCAAGCCAGTTGCTTCACCGAAAAAACGATTCCCATTAATGGAAAAGATTGATGGGTTCGATAAATCGTGCATTAGACGAATAGTGCACAGCTTTTATTTAAAAGGAGAGTTACCTACAGCAAAAAAGGTGCTACATATCATAAATACAGACGAATCCTTACCAAACAAGGACTTCACATCGTTGAATAAATTACTGAAACATTTGAAGTTTAAGTACGTCAAACGAAGGAGAAATAACGGGTTAATCGACAGTGATGACATAGCATTGTGGCGTATCAAATATTTGAAAAATATGAAAACTTACCGACAGCAACAACGACCAATATATTACTTGGATGAAATTTGGGTGAATGCGGGTAAGACTTATTTTTATTATTTTCTAACTGACTTAAATCTATACTAAAATTATGAATTTGAAAGTAACACTGTCTGTCACCTTTATACACCTAAACGGCTATTAACTGTTTAAACCTTTGATTAGTTTATTCATTTACTTTTCAGGGCACACTGTTGGCAAGATGTGGGAAGACACTACAGTGCAGTCACGAAAACAAGCATTTTTGGAGGGTTTGTCGACGGGTGCCAAGAATCCTACTTCCAAAGGCAACCGGCTAATTATTTTACATATAGGAGGTGAACAAAGATTCGTGTATGAATCGGAATTTTTGTTTGAATGCAAAGGTACAGGCGATTATCACGAATCGATGAATGCAGCCAAGTTCGAACATTGGTTTCAAGCAATGCTACCGAGACTTGAGCCAAACGCAGTGGTTGTCATGGATAATGCCAGCTACCACTCAAGACGCCAGGAAAAAATCCCAGTTACAAGTTGGAAAAAAATAGGTATTCAAGAATGGCTTTCATCAAAGCAAATTTCTTTTGAGGCAAAGGAAACAAAAGTCCAGTTCTTGAAAAAGGTGAAAGATGTTAAGATTCAGTACCAATCGTACGTGGTCGATGAGCTGGCAAAAGCAGTTGGTGTGGAGGTATTGAAATTACCTCCGTACCATTGCGAATTGAATCCCATCGAACTAGTTTGGGCAGACGTCAAGGGGTATGTGGCCCGAAAAAATACAACATTTAAGATGGCAGATGTTAAAAAAGCTGCTCCAGGAGGCTTTAGGCAACATTTCAGCAGAAAAATGGCAAAATTGCATCAGTCACGTAAAAAAAGAGGAATCGAAATTAGCTAGACTAGATGATAATGTAGACAAAACTGTTGATTCTTTTGTGATAAATGTGACAGGCGAGACGTCTTCGGAAAGCAGTTACTCCGATACAGAGGAATCGGATTCTGATTTTTGATTTTTTTTCTGCCGAATTAGTATATACTTGTCTAGATTTTTATTACTTGTAATATAAAATCTAATTAAATAATTTATATAATAATAATAAATATATTTCATAAGTTGGTAAATTTTCTTTCTCCTTCAAATATTTCATGTAAACCGCACTAAATACAAAAATGTTTGTGACCACTGTCAGTAGGTAAAGAGGTCATCGTACGAAATTCTTCGTGCTCCGCGACTGGACTTTACATATTGAAGCGTGCTTTCATTACAACTTACTTCTAGCCGCCGATGAAGATTAGTCAGTTTTTACCATCAGTCAAGTGTAATGTCCCTCTGCAAGATGCAGGAGTGTACAAGCTTGATTGTCAATGTGGGGTTTCTTATATAGAACAAACTAAACTTAACAGCAACAAATAGGTATGCAACTCAGCATTGAGTTGCAGTGAGATAACCACAGGGTTGATATTCTGCCGGTGCCCTAATCCAGCAGTCAACTTACGAGCAGTCGCCAAATATAAGTTTTGTAAATTAAAGATTTTATAGCGATTATGAATTATGAATATTTCTTTTGAATAATGCCTTCATAATACATATTCCCAATATTTATTTTTATTAAATCGTTATTTATAGTCAATCGTCATAATATAGGGAAAAATTAGGGTGCTTTTAGATAAACAGATTTTTTTTTAATATATAGAATATGGTTGACAAAGGAGCACACATTTCACCTGATGGTAAGTGGATGCTGCGGCCCATAGACATCTATATTTATCCTCGATTAAGAATCAAAATGCAGATGCGTTGTAACCCATAAGGACTAAAATGGTATGCCACGTTTCCAGTTTAAAGGGTCTCTGGTTCTCTTCACTCACAATACAGAACACGGCAGCATTAAGCTGCTATTTTACGCTGGTATTCTGCAAGAGCGTGGTCCTACACATTCTTCGCCGAACCATTCATGCCAAAAGCTTTAGCATAGCTCTATCATGTATAAATCAGTGTGACACGTTTATATAAAAGAGCTATATGATATGCAACAATTTTCTGCCGACTTCCAAAAAGGAGCCGGTACTCAAATCGACTGTATGTTTTTTTTTATGTGTGTTACCTCAAAAATGTTTACTGGGTGAACCGATTTCGATTATTCTTTTTTTGGTACTTCTCGTGTGGTCCCATATGAATTTGATTAAGTTCAGGTCAATAGTTTTTGAGTTATTCTTAATAACTTATATTGAAGTCGGCTGTACAAAATTTTTAATTTTAAATTATTTTTTACTATTATAACCCAGTGCTTGACTACGATCCCACCTGATGGTAAGCGGTGATGCAGTTGAAGATGGTAAAATGCACTGACTTAGTTCAGCAAAAAACCTTGAACAAAACTATTTTTTTGCGCATTTTATCGCGTTTAATTTAACTTATTTTTAATTCCTGACGCTATGCAATGTGAAAGGTAACTCGGAGTAACTTCAGCTTTTAATTATTAATTTTGGCCCGATCTACACAGAATGAGCTTACAGTATCTTGAAGTTTTGCTGTGGTATGCTTGGGTTTAGTTTCTATTTTATTAATTACAGGATCTCAAGCACGTGGTAGAAATTTCTCTATTGAAGTTAGGATGTTTTTTTTTAAATTTCAATAGACTTACGTATTATCTTTGCTAGGAATCAATGTTCGTTCGCGTGGATTCGTGGTTCTATCAAATGTGATGTAATGGCGGGCACCGTCTAGAATATGATCACAAACTAAATACTTCCCTGAGTAAAAGTAGTTGTATATTCAAAATGCAGTGTTCGCGAGTGTTCGTGTACTTTTGCCTTGAGGACACCCACATTATAATGTAATAGAAATACAGATGCTTGTAAGTAATTCTCTTAAAAGTAAGGCTCTTATTTGCTTAGAAGTTCGTCTGATGAGGTGTGTCCTGAAGCAGCAGCGCATTCACTAGTGATTTTCAGTTTAAGGAATATGTAGAGAAAGTACAAGTGCAGGCTGTGAGTTCTATATCATTCCTGTGAGGTGACAATCTAACTGTCTCTCTCTTCTTTGTTTTAAGTAGGTTATAGGTGTATCCTGGGCTGGAGTAGCGTCTTACCACTAATCAGACGTGTACGCATGATTTGCGTTTAAATAAAATAATTAAAAATTAAACGAAACTAATTTTTACGGATTATATCGCGTTTAATTTAACTTTTTAATTTCCGACGTTTCGGGTTCTTTACAGCACCCATGGTCACGAAGGGACCAAGGTGTTTGACGTCCCGATGTCATAGTTAGGCCGGCTACCTTCAGTTTTTGAATATTAATTTTTGTCCGATCTACGCAGAATGAGCTTATAGTATCTTGAAGTCTTGGGTTTGGATTTCATTTTATTAATTATAGGATCCCAAGCAGATGGCAGCACCCATCCATCTTCTCTATTAAAATTAGGATGTTCTTTAATTTCAATAGCCTCGTGAATCATCATTGGTAGGAATCGGTGTTATTTCGCGAGGATTTGTGGTCTATCAAATCTAATGTAATGGCGGGGACGATCTTGAACATGGTCACAAACTGCAGACTTCCCGGAACGTCGGTGCTACAAGTCAGATATGTTCTTTCCCGCGGGTTTTTATAGATCTTTTTGTTTGTCGTATGTAAGAGAGACCACATTCATTTAATGTGTAGTCTTCGCGTAAATATAAGAAATCATTAATGAAAAAATTATAAAAATGTTTTGATTTTAACAGTCGTTGATGACCATCACGTCGATCGGGTCGGGTGTCTGTAATTTCCTGCTCGGAACACAGTTACAACTGCACTGGGGACCACACTGGTTAACCGCGTTCCTCATCTACGTGTACAGCTTCATTTATAACCTGGGAGCAGCTATTGTACCCTTCGTCTTAACTGCCGAAGTGTTTTTGCCTGAGGTAATTATAGAATTTCAGTTTTTTTAAACTTAATTGTAGTAACAAACGACACTTGTAAACAACTTCAAACAGAGAACGTTTAGATGCGTCTTCACCTTTGAGGACTAAGGTGATTTGCCTTATAGCCTTTGGTTATACTGACTCTCTTTATTCTTTAGACCGGAATACAGGAGCAATACTGATCTGATTAATCATAATGAACAGATCTTTTTATACAATATGGGTGACAAACGAGCACACAGTCCATATGATGGTTAGTAGATGCTGTGGTAATAAGAATCGAAATGCAGATGCGTTGCCAGCCCTGAGGATTAACGTCTCCGATTTTCTACACATACGATAACACAAACCGTATAGCTTAAAACAGCATCAAGCTGCTGTTTTAAGCTTGTATTCCGTGAGAGCGTGGTCCTTCCAAGCTAGAGCCGATCCATTAGTGCTAAAACCATAAGCGTGGCTCTACCAGGTATAAATCAGTGTGATACGTTTATATGAAAAAGCTATAGATATGCCACAATTTTTTTTACTATTAAAACCCAGTGCTTGACTACGAGCCCACTTGTCGGTAAGCGGTGATGCAGTTGAAGATATTACAGCGCACTGACTTAGCTTAGTAAAAACCTAGAATAAAACAATTTTTACGGATTTTATTGCGTTTAATTTTACATATTTGTCGGAGAATTACAACAGAGAATCTCAATTTTGATCTCGGAAATACATCAGGATAGCGTTAACTGTTAAAAATAATAAGTGTGAGAGCGGATGTCCAACTTGCTGTCGTGCTTAAGCAATTAATCATTATCAGTAATAAGACAATGTAACGCAGCATACATTCAGTATAGTGAAATTACAGTTCGACCACACCGTAACACGTCTCTGCCACAATCACACACCAGTGTAACGTGAGGTACGTAATTACATGATAACACCAAAATATGTAAAGCAACAGCAACACTACTTATCTCAATGTAATACAGGGCAGCATGTCAGCAACACCAACCCTCCTTGCCTGCACTAGAAGAATTACAACAACGAACAGAACCACGACACTATCTTAACACTAGTCAAATGACCACACCCGTAGAATGAATGAAGCAGAATCTCTCGCACACGGCACCTACAGTGAACTTTATACTGCACAAACAATTGGGGGTTTCTCGATATACCCTCATTTCCACCTCGATCCAAGTCATAATTTATAGACTCTCCGACTGATTTTGAATATGGCTGCAGCATAACTTTACGTAATTTAATGTATTTGAACTTTGTTTATCTTTTTAGGCATATTGGTTTCATTGCAATGTATGTTATGTGTACGGCTTCAGACAATCCTATCGTGCTATTTCGAATCATTTCATTTATAACGTCATTGAAAATTTTTAGAAAAATACCAGAAGAAGGAGAGGAGAAACAAGAAACTCTGAGAGTATCAGGACTTGTTACTAACGATAAAACGATTTGACAAATGATGGTAAATAAATTATAAATTTTCAGGTCCGAGGTCTCTGCAACAGCTTATCTATGGCCTGCATGTGGATAATGAACTTCGTCACACTTATAGTATTTAATCCACTTGTGGACTTATTCGGTTTGGGTCCAATCTTCTACGGCTTTTCCGTCATATGTATGCTTGGAGCGATGTACAGTCATTTCTGGCTCCCCGAAACCAAGGGTCTGCCCGCCGATGCCATCCAGAGACTGTTTTTAAAGAATAACAAAAATTAAGATTAGTGTCACGAATAATGTTAAATAAAATTTTGATTTTAAACGTTTTATTTGATTGACCGTACCTGTCTTTAAAGTTGACAAAAATTACTTTGCGTACATCCGCTCGATAACATAAAATGATGTGTCTTACCTAGTTTGAAGAGCACCTCCCGCCCTCCCTTAATTGCGTGCACTATCCCCGTCACCACTAATCCCAGCACCACTACTCCCAACACCACTACACTAGGAAAGACACACCACTGACGACAATACGACACGTGTTTCTCCTCTACACGAGGCATCCTCAGGTGATATAGACTCTACGGTGGCTAACCGCTAAGTGAGCGGCGAGCCAAAACAACTGTTATTTAAACAAATCGCTGACGCAACCGCTCTCTATTTAAGAAACGAGCGACTGCGTCATGCGATAAAACATGCGACCAATCACCGCCGGACTTACGAGCCGTTTGTAGAATTAAAAACAAACCACCGTTCAACGCCCGCCTACCCTCCAACCACGCAAACAATCGCGTGAGGCTCTCAAAAAAACGAACATATTGTGAGGCTCTCTATTATAAGAGAGAAGGCTTAAAGATATTTAAGAGAGGTGAGTTAGTAACATTTGTTTGTTCATTCAGCAGTGCAACGATACTATTAATACTTTTTGATATCTCTAACTGTTCTAGCACACACAGCCGCAGCTCTTTATTACACGTATGTAAGACTTTCAAGGAGTGGTCGTTGGCTAGGTTGTGTCCAGTGTCCAAAAGATGTTTGGCAAAATGGGATTTATCGGGATTGCAATTCCTGTACGCGGCTAAATGCTCTTTATAACGTGTCTCGAAATTGCGACCAGTCTAACCCACGTAAACGGCGTGGCATTCGTCACAAACAAGTTTGTTTTTTGAAGAAACATTGACTTTTGAAGAATATCCAACTTATCTTTATTATTACAGATATTTTTAAAAGAATTGTTTGTTTTGAACGCCACATAAACGCCGTTTTGTCGAAGAGTATTAGCTACTTTTTTAGATATGGGGCCTAAGTAGGTCAAACTATTCACATATCGATGAACACTTTGAGGTTGAACCGCGTACAGAGAGTTGCGGACAACATGCTTTTGTTTCTCTTTAATTAAATTGTTAATGAGATTTTTTGAAAAACCGTTAGAGACCGCTATTTGATAAATTATATTAAGTTCTTTTAAATAATTTTCTTTACTTAAACAACAAACGGTTAATGTAACAATAAAAAGCGGCTACTTTATGTTGCCATGGATGACACGATGACGCGGGGATGACCGTGTCGGTATGAGTTGGCTTTCGATAAATTTGGAAAACATGTGACGATTCTTTTCTTGTTATTGTTAAGTCGAGAAAATTAAGGGAAAAATCTTGTTCTAATTCAAGTTTAAATTTAATTTTGTCATGGACTCTATTTATTAGGGACAGAAGTGGCCTGTATGAATTGACTATGCAAGTGGACTGTATTGACTAATTGACTGACTGATGTTGAGGTATACTACGCTAGGGACTGCTTAAAGAAAATATGGTACTGTAGACAATAATGTATTAAACTATTTACAAATGCGGCTGTCACTAATTAACTATATACACAGAGGGGAGTCTTCAATGGAGTATAAATTCTTCTCTCTTGATTTCTCTTGAGGTTTCTTCTCTTGCTGTTGTCTTCGAGTGCCGCTTCCGAAATGAACAGCTCATAGACCAAAACGCCCGTCTTATATTTCGCAAGAGAGCGTCTCAGTATGTGCGTAGCGTCGTGAGGTGATGCCGCGCGCTGATTGGTCGGCGACATCGCGTGATCTGCTGGCGGTGTGCGGGGTGCGCGTGGCGCAACGGGGTATGAAGGGGCGATGGGGCGGCGGCTCCCCTCGCCATCCGTAACATCCTCCCCCCGGTGTAGCCTGCGAGCCTAAGCTTCCCTCGGAAGGAATCTTTCTTACTGGTCGCCGCAGCACTCCGCCCCTGGTCCTGACCTCGACGTTGCGCACCACGCCGTCCGGTCCAGGAAATGTCTTCGTGACGACCCCCTGCGGCCACACGTTCCTTTGTAGGTTGCCGTCCGCAACCACGACGAGGACCTCTTCTTGTATTTGGCGCGGCTGAGCGCCTCAGGAGTCCCCGAGCGCAACCAGCGTCGGCAGGTACTCTTTCACCCAGCGCCTCCAGTACTCGTCGGCGAGCCCCTGCGCCGCTCTCCACACCCGACGATCGATGGGAGTGCACGGCGCGGTGACTGGTAGGCCCGATGGTCCCAACAGGATGAAGAAGTTGGGTGTCAACGCCTCTTCGTCGTTGATATCGACCGGTACGTGCGTCAACGGTCGAGAGTTAACTGTATTCTCTGCTTCTGTCAGGAGCGTCACTAGCGTCTCCTCCCGTGGGCTCTGCTGATGTAGAGTGTTTTCGAGTGCGGTCTTCACTGAGCGCACGAGACGCTTCCATGCGCCTCCCTGGTTAGGCGCGCCCGGTGCGATGAATTTCTATTCTGTTCGCCGAGTCAGAGCGTAGTCCTTCAGCTGCAGCGCCCACTCTTCCTTCGCCCGTTGCAGTTCTGTATTTGCCCCATGAAAATGTTTGCCATTGTCGGAGTATATTACCTGTGGCCACCCACGTCTAGCCGCCATGCGCCGCAATGCCGATATCGCCGAGTCCGTTGTTAGGGAGTAAACTAGTTCTAAATGAACCGCGCGCGTCGTTAAGCACGTGAATAGCGCTACCCACCGCTTTTCGTATCGTCGTTCTATCGTAACTATCAGAGGCCCGAAATAGTAACGACTCCGGTGTAAGTAAATAAATGGTCGCGCAAACGCCCCTAACCGTTCGGGTGATAGGTCTCCTGTAACCGCTGGCCGTGGTGTCGCCTTGCGTACCCTGCATCGCAGACATCTCCGTTCCGCTTCTCGTATGGTAGGTCGTAATTGGAGGATATGAACTCTGGTGCGTAGGTCGTTGACCACCCTCTCTCTGTTGGCGTGACTTGCTTCCTGATGCACCTTCTCTACAAGCAGCTTCACGAATTGGTGGCGTCCATTCAGTATGATGGGTCTCTTCATCTGGCCGTCCACGTCGGCTGCGTCGATTCTTCCCCTGGCCCGTAGTATTCCATCTTCCAGTATGGGGTCGAGCTTCCTCAGTGCGCTGCCGGTGGCCAGGTTCTTCCCCCGCTGAAGGCGGCTGATGTCATCAGCGAAGCTATCGAGTTGGCTGCATTCTATCCACATCCCCTCTGCCCTTTGGATGTGCTGCAATGTCAAGCCTTGTGCCCTTCTTCGTATGGCATCGACGAACTGCGTGCTGTGGCCCTGATCAATCTCTCGTAAGAAGAGAATCGTTCTATGTCTGGCAGGTGTGGAGCATCCTTGGTGTCGCTCTGGTGCGCCACGGTTTCCTCCAACTCTTCATCATCCCCCACCTTCTCTTCCTTCCGGTGAGGCCATCTGTCTTCGTCCTCGTAAAGAAATGACGGTCCTGTGAACCATTGGTCGCTTTCTTCTTTGGTCACGAAGTTCATACGCGTTGCCTGATCTGCTATGTTCTCTGCAGTCGGTATCCACCTCCATTGCTCGGGTGATGTCTTTTCAGCTATCTCCCCTAACCGATGAGCCACGTATGGAGTGTAACGCGCCGTATCATTCTGTATCCAGTGGAGTGCCGTAGTAGAGTCCGTCCAATGTACGACCCTATCTGCTACCACTCTGTGCTCGCCTTGCACGAATTCCGCGAGTCTGCGCGCCTATCAAATTCGCCTGCAACTCTAGTCGCGGTATACTTTGCGCCTTAATCGGAGCGACTTTCGCCTTGGCCGCCACTAATCGTACCCTAACCGTTCCGTCGCTGTATCGTATTCGCCAATATGCCGCGGATGCGTACGCACGTTCACTTGCGTCGTTAAATACGTGAAGTTGACGCTCTACCACTCCCCCCGTAGGAGCATAGCACCTTGGCAGTTGCAGTCGTGATACCCCCTCCACGACTCGCAGCCACCGGTAGTTTATCATCCCATCCGACCTTTTTCATACGCCATAGGTCTTGTAGCAGGATCTTCGCGGTGATGGTGAGGTAGCTGAGCAGTCCGAGCGGGTCAAACACAGACATGACTGGGCTTAATGCTTCTCTCTTGGTCGGTGGTCGCTGTAGCACCTTTACTTCCTGCGGCACCCTATTCATCGATGTGTTGAAGGTTAGGGCGTCTTCGTCGGCCATCCATAACAACCCTAGGGTTTTGCCTGGGCTCTCTTGCCTTAAGCCTACTTCCTTAGGCTTGCTCGCCAGTAGTTCATCCGGCTTGTCTTCCAATAGGGCTGCGTGATTAGAATTCCAGCCTGCCAAGGTGAAACCGTCCTTCTGGTGCACTTCCGTAACCTGCCTTGCCGTGTTTACCGCTTCCTCTACCGTTGTATAACTGTCTAAATGATGACTACGTACGATAGGGTCAAGTGCCAACGGGTGTGTCTCTGCATGTGCGCGCGCGTTATAATCTCTAACACTATGTGCGAGAAACGGCGAGCTCCTCGCGCGGAAAATCATTGACGTCATAACGTACTCCCGCAGTGGGCTATATCGCTCGTTTCCTCGCCAGAGAAACAATTGCGCGGGTTGGTCGCGACGGTCGAACTTCACACGTAAAAACATTTCCCTAATATCCGCGGACACGGCTATCTCATTCTCTCTAAACCTAAACAGTGTGTCCGGTAAGTTCCGTAATAAGTCGGGGCCGTCGAGTAACTAGTCATTAAGACAACTACCGGATGCGCGCGCTACCGCGTCGAACACTACTCTCGTCTTCCCCGGCTTGTTCGGATTCCATACTGCGAAGTGTGGCAGGTACCAGCTTTTAGGGTCCGTTTCATATATGTACTGCGTGTCTTGCCACGTATCCCTATATTTACTAACGTACTATTGGCCTCGCGCCTGGTCCTTCCGCTCCTAACTCGTCGTCGAATAACGATATGGTAGACCCTTCGTCAAGTAACGCATACGTATCAACTTCCTTAC